TCTTTACAAGTGATGGTAACAAACTCAGTGTGTACAGTTGAGTGCGACGCCAAGGGTAACTTATAGGGTAACGTTACAGCTGACTTTTCAGGGAGGCTCGGAATCACTGTGGATGACTCATGGGGTGTCGTGCTCATGATTCTAAACCTTTATATATAACTCAAGGACTGCTCATAATGGACACAAAGGCCACACCATCACACTTTCCCTGGAGGATGACGACAACAAAAGAAGGGGTGTGCCCGTGTGTGATGTGTGCGTGCGGAGGAGGCAGGGGACAGCTTGTAGATGAGCAGGTTTATTCCATAAGAATTTAATCTCCAGTTCTTTCTTCTGATGGAGCTAGTCTAAAATTATCCCCCCGGACTGGGTAGGGGCTGAATCCTGCTAACGGGTTAACCAGAATTGTCTTTAACGAGATGGTCGTGCAGAGCCAGCCCTGGCTAGCGAAACCTGCCTGTGATGGAGAACAGGCTCTGCCAGACGCAGGCTCTTTGGCTGGAGTCTGAAAGGCTGGCACTCACATTCGAAGATGAATGGCCTGGCTTGGTCCCGACTGGAGACTCACATCTCTTATCTGCACTGTTACAGTGTATGTTCAGGAGGGGTTTCCGGGCTTTTGTACGTGCTTGCCGTGGTGCCGAGAGCTGGCAGGTGACTGGTGTGTCTGATGGAGCTAGCTTAGGGGGAGAGGCAGCAAAAGCATTTCAAATGCACCCAGGTAGGAAAAACATAACCCTAAAGGTGGGCAAGAGAAAGGAAGGTAAATGAATGTTCATATTTGATGTTAAAATATCATACTTTTATGCTATTGCTTCAGAAATATTTAGAGAGATTTTACAGTTTGGAGTTTTTTTGGGTGACTTAATCATTCAATAGAGTAAATATCTATAAAATTCCAATTAAATGGTGTCTAAAATTTCAAGCAGCAGTCTACAGGCAAAGCGCCAACATTTCTTTTTTTAAAAAATATTTATGATAACATCTAGCATTTAAAAATCAACCAGAAACTAGGCTTGATTCTGTTTAATATTTTATATAATTGGACATCTTAAATCAATAATGTTTATCTTTTATAGCAATTTTGTGTTTATTCAAAACCATAATTCTACTGTGATGTTAGCGGAATGACTTTATATGGCTTTAATTGTATTGGTTTAAGTGCTAATGACCACATTTCAAATTAAAATAGTATTTTGCTGATAGAGGTAGACACAGATATGAAATACAAAAGAATAGATAATTTTACTGATTGTAAAGTGTTTATTTCAAGAAAAAAATGTTCTTTTTTAGGAATGTGAGGGAAAAAAGTAACTTTTTCAAGGGTTTAAGACAGTTTTCTGCATTTTTGGGGATTGGAACTTGTGCCTATGGAATTTTTGGAGCAGCCTAAGCTACCTGTTAGCTTGATATGTGTGCTAGAAAAATTTCATTATCATGTTTTGTGATATGTAATAAATTCAGGGTGCTGTGCTTAATCTTTGTTTCAGTTCAAGTTTGGGAACATCTCCTTCCCTCATTCCCAACCCAGGCAGACACCCCTACCCCATGCAGCCCCCCACCCCACCCTGCCCTTCCCCTGATCCCACGAGAAAGAGTCAAGTCAGTCCCTGACTCCTAGAAGGTGTGTTTCTTCCTACGTGGAGCAAGCAAAATATAATCATGATTTCTAAACCTCTGCTTTCGTGTCTGGGGAGAGTGATGCTTTCTCTCCTCCTCTGATGTCTCTTTAATAAATATGTTGTCATTGTTTGTCTTTGGAAGTGGCCTCTTGGGTCACCTCTCAACCTTCTCCATGATTTATGTTGCAAACAAAATCTCTGTCCTGTGTCTGTTCACTGTACTTTTCTAATCTTGTGTATCATTGAAGATGTGCTGGAGACAGTTTTTGTTTTTATTATGCAATTCTGTTATATGTATATTTCAGTGAAATGTCAACCCGTCAACAGAGGATGATGTTAAAAATTATCCAAATAAATAGTTTTCTATTTCTTTTAATCAGACCTAGTTCAATCAGTTGAATGACAATGAATAGGATTATCTGTTGTTATTCGAACTCAGCAGTGTGTTCCTGGCCCATGCTGTCTGTAACATGGATTAACGTACATAATTTACCTGGAGGTGTTGACTTAGTGCATGGTTATCTGTGTTTATTTTGTGGAGATGGCAGCAGGTGTCTCAAACCTGGTCTCCTGTTTGGGAGCCTCAGATATGTAACAGCCCTTTCTTCCCAGTGATCCAAAGTCGGACGATGAAACCCTGGCTGGGCTTATCTTCCCTTGATAACGGTGCCCTAAAAAATGTGGAAGGAAGGAATTGCAGGCTGTTTCATGTTGCCAGGCTCCACCTCTCTGCACATACCTGCAGCTTGGCTATGTAAGAGGTTTCACCCACTTGACATTAGAGTTTCCTTCTTGATGTTTCCATTAGAATGGCAAGTTGGGGGCCGGCCCTGTGGCTTAGCGGTTAAGTGCGTGCGCTCTGCTACTGGTGGCCTGGGTTCAGATCCTGGGTGTGCACCAACGCACCGCTTCTCCGGCCATGCTGAGGCCGCGTCCCACATACAGCAACTAGAAGGATGTACAACTATGACATACAACTATCTACTGGGGCTTTG